TTAAAAGGGCTTGTTTAAGGCAGGTCTGACCTCCGAGTTTTGCAGCGGCTACTGCAGAGTTTGTGTCAGCAGCGCCTCTCCAGCTGTTATTAGGGATCACCGAAATAGTCTCAATTCCCCCAATTTCAGCAAAATTCCTGAATGCAGGAACATTTGCCTCATCCGTCCCCGACGAAAACCACATCCCTGAGTTCTCCTGCAGCCCTGGTAGTGGCTGTGAGCAACAGGGACTTCTCTGAGTTGGAGACACTGTTTCAAACCCTCCGATCCTGGGAGAGAAGAGCAAACAGGGCCCGGGGGTAAAACCTACAGCTTGAATTTATTGTCCTGAACTTACTGACGTTCAGGAAGAGAGCTGTGTTGTTCTTTCCAGTGCTGTGCTGGAGCCCATGACGGGAGCTCTGATGACAGCTGCCAGCTGCTTTCAGAATTAATGTCCAACCGCCCCCCCCCCCCCCCGCCCCGGTATCCAGGGTCCTTTCCTCTCTCCCCGCAGAGGGGGTGCCGGCACCGACACGTAAAACACCGTGTGGCCTGGGGTGTCATCCCTCCACCTCTCCCCCCCTGCCCGACGGCTGCCTGGCCCAGGAGCGTCTGATGGAGGGGATGAGGGACCGCAGATCCCTGCCCTGCAGAGTCAGCCGCTCGCAGCCTTGATTCCGGTGGCGGGAGCTGGAGCAGCTGCCGGGAGAGGGAAGCTCCGAGCTCCTTTCTTTAACCGCGTCCGTTGTGCAGGCCGCCACCGTCGTCTGTGTCACGGTTACACCTCCTGCAGGTTAGGGCCCCTTCCCCAGTTCCCGTGGGAGAGACGCACAGTCCAGGAGCGGGCAGGATCGGCCCTGAACATCCAAGTCAGGGCCTGTGGCCTAACTGTGAGCCTGTTCAGGGGCAGCAAGGGTTGTTTCAGAGTCTCTCCTGGCTGTGTTATCCGCCTAAGACGTGGGAAGGTGGTCATTGTGCTTCTGGGTCTGGGGCCCAGTGTTGGGTGGTCCCATGTGTGTCCTGGGTGTGGGGGACACAGAGGCCTCTCCAGGTTCTGGTTACCCACACCCCTCCTTTTATTCCTCTGCTGGGTGTGTTTCCGCCTGTTCACCAGGGAACAGATACAGGCCCAGCTCTGAGATGTGGCGGGTTCAGGCCCAGACCACTGCAGTGAAGGCGGCACGTCGGTAAGGAGAGTCACAGGAACTTTTTGGCTTCCCAGTGCCTAGAAAAGTGATGTTCACGCTCTCCTGAGGTCTGTTAAGGGTGCGATAGCATTACGTCTAGAAAAACAACGTACAAACCTTACTTTTAAAATACTTTGTTACTGTGCTCGCCTCAGCAGCACATACACTAGAATTGGAACGATACAGAGAAGATTAGCGTGGCCCCTGTGCAAGGATGACACGCAAATTCGTGAAGCGTTCCATATTTTTCCAATAAAGACGTTTAAAAAATAAATAAATAAATAAATAAAATACTTTATTACTAAAAAAATGTCAAAACAATTACAAGAGTAACATCAAAGATCATTGATCACAGATCACCATAACAAATATAAGAATAACGACAAGGTCTGAAATATTGCGAGAGTTACCACAGCGTGACGCAGAGACACAAAGTGGGCACACGCTGTTGGAAGAAATGCGCCAATAGACTTGCTCAGCCGGGGTTGCCGCAGACCCTCAGTTTGCAGCCCACCGTGTCTGTGAAGCGCAGTAAGACGAGGTGTGCCTTATATAAGAGGGAAGAGCAGAGCCTCGTATCTGCCACCTTCCTGGGAACTGACAAACGTTTTAATCTAGAGAAAAGAGTTAGAAATCCAAAACGCAAATAAAAGCGGTAGGTGCTCGAGTATGTCTTCCGAGCGCCCCATGGGTTTCCCTTTCTCCCCCGTGGGCTTTCTGTGTACAGGGCACTGGGGGGGGGGGGAGTGCCCTGGCAGCGGTTCCTATCCTAGCTGAGTTCCAGAACCTTCTGGGGAGCTTTTACAAGAATGCAGATTCCCGGGTGTCCCTCAGACCTGCAGGACCAGATAAACCTCTGACCTCGCTAACTCGGTCACCCCTAGCGTAGCGAGAAATGTCCAGGGCTGGGCCGTCCAGCCCAGCTCACGGGGAGGCGTGATCCAGAAATGGAGCGCGTCTTCTTCACCCAGTGGCAAGGTTGGGCGTTTTCCTCTAAGATGAGTGACTTGGCACGTGAGATCACCGCTGTACAAGGCCTGGCCGCTCTCGTCACGTTATCCCGCCAGGGCCGCTCCCCTGTGGGCCAGGGCTTCTCCGTGGTGTGTCTGTTACCGAATCCCCATCATGGTGGCGGTGGAGGGGCCATGGGGACGACCTTGCTCGGGACGCGGGCTCCACCGTGACGCCCCAGATCCAGTGTGCAGAGCCTGGACCACGAGGCTGCGGGTCTGCCTGGACCAGGCTGAGAACCCCAGGCCGCGCCCCGCAGGCCGCTGGCTTGTGGGTGACGCTGCCCACACGTCCCTCCTGTCGCCGCCCAGCCTCCATCCCAGGCTTAGGGAGGAGGTTCTGCTCAGAGCCGGGCAGACACGCCCTGGGTTTGCGCGTCGTTGGGATGCGTGGATTGTGGTGGTGAAGCTGAAGTGGGATCAGACGCGGCGCGGCACCCGAAGCCACGACCCTCCTCAGGACGCCTGGCCGAACGACCGGTCTCCAGCGGCCTCATCAGGCGCCCCCGCCGCCAGGCCCCCAGCCCACCTCGGGGCAGCCGCAGAGTCCTACACACATGCGAGGACCTCAGAGTGTTTATGATTTTTACTTTACACCTGAGTACTTGCCTTCCAGAGTTGACATAAACATTTTTAATCACATTTATTTAGAGTTTTAAAAAATAAAACGAGTAAAACATCACACAGAGTTATCCATAAAGTATGTCCTATCACGTGCAGTATGTGATGTCACACGTGTTCTAGCAGCTCCAATACGGTATGTAACGTACCTCCCCGGGCTCAGACCCCCACCTGTCAGGCGGCCGTTTCTTGAACTTGCTCTGTGCCTTTTCTGTCCGTTTTTGAAAACAGCTTTACGTGCACATGTACGCACACCGTGAGCAGCATGCCGCGGGGTTTTGTGTGCTCTTTTCAGCATGTAAACAGAGGTCCCACACCCTACCCATTGCTCCCCATCTGCCTTTCCACCCGCCACTGGGTACAGGCTGGGCCCAGCTTTCCCTGCAGCATCTCTGCCCTGTGCAAGGATAGTCCCCGTGGAGGGTTGCGTGGGGTTCAGGGGCCTTCCTTGCTCAGGTGTCCACACGTGTGAGGGTCCTCGTGGCTGTGCTGCCCGCAGGGTGTGCACGGATCTGTCGGCTGGACCTTGTGGGTTGCTCTACACGTTGGCCGTGCTGGCGTTGGCGGCCCAGCGGCCCCGGCCTTGAGCTGCCGCTACCTCCCTCCCGACAGCCCTGGCCCTTCAACCCTGAGGGCCTGTGGATGAGCCCTGGACGCTGTTCCAAACTCCCCAGGCGGCCCTGAGCGCGGGCGGGGTGAGAGCCCCTGCTTTAGCCTGGGAGGGGGTCAGCTGCGAGGGGACGTGGGACCCCAGCTGGAGGAGTGGTGTCCAGTCGGCCGAGAGTGTGCGCCCACGCCCATCTGCTGCAGTCCCAGGGACGCTGGCCCTGGTCGCTCGGGCCTCGTCCAGGGCCTCTGCGGGCCCCCAGGAATCGAAGAGGAAAGGGTGACCTTATGGGCTCTGCTGCTGCCCGGGAGCCCCAGCACTTGTGCAAGGTGGTTCTGAGGTGCATCCTCTCCTGCAGCCCCGTCCTAGGAGGAGGAAAAGCCTGGGCTAGAGCGTCGTTTTGGACTGGTTTTTAAATGTCTTCTTCCAGGCAGGGCCCCCGCTTGTGCCGTGATGCCCCAGCCGTGAGAGCGGGGGGTGGGACTGGTGAGGCTGGGGGCTGCCTCCCCGCCTGCCCCCACCTCTGTTCCTCCATCCCTGCCTCCTGCCCTCGGCCTCCTCCTTCCCCTGACCCGCCCCTCTTCCCCCACCCCTCCCCCCGCCCGCTGCCCTGCCTGACGGTCGCTGGCCCGGCTCTGCAGCAGGCGGGGAGCAGCGGGCGCCCGGCAAACGGCTCGCACTGCGGCTGAGCAGCCTCCCTCCTGCAGCCCCGGCTCCCTGTGGGCTGCCGGGGACCGGGCTCCCTTCTTCTTCTGGAAGGCAGGTCGGTGTTCCCGGGCGCCCTCGGCCCCCGCTTGCCCACCTCACTTGCCCTGGGTTTGTCTGGTTTTGTTTGGAACGGTTACAGGAAGGGATGCTGCAGACAGAGGCTGTGTGGAGGGCCCTCGGCAGGGGGCTCAGAGAGGAAGGCCTGGGTCAGCCGGGGAAGGCGACGGTGACAGGAGACTGGCCCTCGAGTTCCGTGTGGCTTCTCAGCTTTCACGCGGCATTAGTTTAAAAGAGCGCTTCCTACGTGTAGAAGGGTAAGGCTTTTGTGGGGTGTGCACGGGTGTGCGCGTGTGCATGCGTGTGCCTGGCCGTGTTGGAGGTGCCCCGGGACGGAGCAGCCGTGTTCTGGATGGAGACCAGCCGGCCCTGTGGGCTGGAGTGACGTGGCGAGTTGACTGCTTCCTCCTTGTAAATGGGGGGGGATGATGAACAGTCGTCACCTAATCAGCTCACGCACGCACACACGGGCTGCCAGGACGGGACAGGGGATGGGCAGGTTTTGGGGTCGGCGTGGTACCCACGAAGCCCCCAGCACGCTGACTCTGCGGGGGTCGAGGCTGTGGTGGGCTTGGCGTCCCGCGGGGAGGCCGTGGTGCTGGCTGGTCTCGGGGCTGGGATGCGCCACGGGCTCCTGTGGGGCGTCTGGGGCCTCGGACGGCCGGGCTGCCTGGCTCTCGGGGCGAGCCCCGGAGGAGCCACGGCCTTCCGAGGATGCGGTCTGTGGGCAGAGTCCCGCGGCCGCCTGCAGGCCTGCTTGACGGAGCCGCGACCCGTGTTAGGAGCGGCCTCGAGCCATCTGTTCACCCCGCGCTGCTTCTGCCGCAGGGATAAACGCCCAGGCCCGGAGACTGCAGCGGAGCCGCGCCAAGGGAACCACAGCCCCGGCCGCGGGGGGCACCTGGAGCCCCCCTCCACCCCGCCTGCGCCGCACGGTCAGCGAGACCAGCCTGGGCTCGGCCATTGCCCCGCCGTCCACTGCCCGGGGCCCCGAGGAGCCCGGCCAGGACGCCATGCGCTGCTCCCTCTACGAGTCGCCCCACCTGCTGCTCCTGCAGGGCTACAGCCAGCAGCACGTGAGCGCCCCTCTCCTGGGCCCGAGGCGGTGGGAGGGGCGGCGGCGAGCAGGGCGTGGGAGGCTCTCGGCTTGGCGCCCCCGCCCCTCTGCTCCTTACTGACCACGTCAGCGGGGGACTCGGGGGCCGGAGAAATGGGCTGCGGGGGAGCACCCCATTGGGTCCGCCCTAGACGCTGGAGGAGGGTGGCGGCTTCCCCGTCCTCTGCTTCCAGAACATTCTTTCGTCCAGGCTGCAGTGGGCGGCAGCAGGGCCTTGGGAGGGGGTCCCCCCAGCTCCTCACTCACTGATCCCAGTGTGGGTCTTACCTGGTACTGGGCCCCCTTCCTGCCCGGCCTGGCGGGCCCCTGGGGAATGGCCCCCGTGGGCTGGGCCGCAGGCCTCCCGCGGCCTCGAGCGTGTGCGGGGCGGCTTCCTCTGAGGAGTCCCGCAGGCCCCCGCCCCGCGCCCGCATTTCATACCACTTTTGTCGGAGGCCTCTTGGCCTGAAGGGGCTCGCCCTTGGCGACCCCGCCGACCCTGCCCGTGCTGCCGCCCCGGGGAGGTCTGCTGTTCCTCCCGGCCTCTCGCTCACCCGCGTGTCCCCCGCTCCCTTTCCTGCTCCACCTTCCCCGCACGCTGTGTGACCTTGTCAGGGCTCTGCAGCTCAGGTCCTGGGAGGCATCTTCCCTCCCGGAGCCGGCGCAAAAAGGGGGGGCGCCTCCCCAGCTTGTCGCCGTCACCTGGCGGAGCGGGCGGGCCTGGCGTGTCTGTAGACCAGTGTCCACGTTCAGGTCTGCCCTTGGCTGGCCTCTCATGTCTCGAAGCTGGGGCCTCCCCCCCACCGCACCCCGGGCGTCTGGTGTACCACCGAGGCTGCTCTGGGAGATGGGGTGGGCGCCCAGTGTGGGCAGGCAGCGGGGCAGGAAGGGCTCCGGGGGGCGGGGGGTGGGTGCTGCCCAGGGCGGCTTAGGTACCAGGGGTGGAACTGCCCGAGTGGCGTCCTGCCCCTGAGGTCTGGTGTCTGCGTTTCAGGACAGCCTGGTCTACGTGCTCAACCGGGAGCGGCACACGGTGGGCCAGAGGACCCCCTCCAGCAAGCCCAGCATCAGCCTCTCGGCCCCCGACATCCTGCCCCTGCACTGCACCATCCGCAGGCGCCGGCCGTTGGACCGAGCTCAGGCGGGGGCACAGCTGGTCCTGGAGCCCATCCCCGGGGCGTCCGTCTCGGTCAACTTCTCGGAGGTGGGGGGCCGCGCCGTGGCGCTGCGCCACGGGGACCTGCTCTCCCTGGGCCTGTACTACCTGCTGCTGCTGAAGGACCCAGCGCAGGCCCAGCCCCTGCCCGCCCAGGCCCTGGCCCGCCTCCGGGCCGTGCCGGAGAGCTGTAGGATGTGCGGTGCCCCGCTCCGGGCCCGGGGCGCCTCGGTCTCCGCGAGGCCCGGACCCCCCCGGGCGCAGCCGCTGCACCTGGAGTTCGAGCCCGACATGGAGGACGCGCTGCTGCAGCGGATCATGACGCTGGTCGAGCCGGGCGGCAACGACCACAAGCTGACCCCCGCCTTCCTCCTCTGCCTCTGCATTCAGCACTCGGCCACCCGCCTCGAGCCGGGCTCCTTCGGGCAGCTCCTGCTCAAGATGGCCAAGATGATCCGAGAGACGGTCTGGGTCAGTGGCGGGGCGGGGGGCGGTTCGCTGCCGGCGGCCTCGGCCGGGAGAGGAGCGGGTGGGAGCCGCGGCTGCCTGGGTGGAGGGCGCGAGCTCCCCCTTGACCGAGACCAGCCCTCGTCGCTGTCGGGCGAGCAGGATAGGCAGGGCCGCCGGGGGAGCTGGGGTAGCCGCCGAGGGTTCGGCTTCGTGAGCTCCGGTCCTGTGTCCCTCCTCACGGCCCAGCCCTGCCGGCGCCCAGGCGGCCTGGGAGCCCCGCGCTTTCTGCCGGGAGCAGGTCGAGACCCTGCCGACACCCCACTGCAGAGCCCTTGTCGGGTAGGGGGGAGGGGGGGCACAGGACCGGTCGATGCTGTCCATTGAAACTTCAGCCAGGATGGTCTCTGGACCGCGGCACCACGCACGTCCAGGTAGAATTCCTTGCTGGGGGGCTGACCCCTGCACCGCAGGCCTCCCCCCTCCCCCCCGCGGCTGGCAGCACGCCTCCCCTCCCCCCTCACGGAAGCGGCTTCAGGCACTGCCAGACGTCCCCTGGGACCAGAGCACCCGGCGGGCATCTCCTGCCCCTCCAGGGGCTGGACTCCCTGGGGAGCTGAAGGCTGGCTGGTAGTTACACGCAGTCCTTCAGAGAGACCCCCTTAGTCTCAGCTGTGCTCACCCTGAGGCAGACGTGGGAAAAGGAAACCAGTTGGCCGTGTAGACACTGGATAGATTCCTCAGATTAAAATCTGCATTTAAAACGTTTGAAACTTTTTAAAAGCAAAAGCCATCCTGGCCTGCCACATCCAAAGGTTTGTGCAAGCGATCTGTGCCTTGTGCGTATCTGAGCCGCGTCCCCCAGAGTCCCGAGTGGCATTTGGGGTGTGTGGTCGCTTCCCCTCTGTGCATCTGAAGTCCGTGCAGAGTGTGGACCGAGGGGCCTGACGCTTAGAAGCTCTGAATTTCACACGAATCACCGTCCTTTTCCGAGTCTGCTCTGTGCCAGACACTTACTAGTAATCAGATGCTGTTGGACTTAATTCTCACAACCACCCTGACGGCGTAGGTGCTGTGTCCCACGTCACAGCTGAGAACGCCGGGGCAAAGGAGGGTGCTGGTGACTCCGGGCAGAGAACTGGATGCCTCCGAGCCCGAGCGTCGTCCCTGGTTCCCCCGCCATGCACGTGGGATCAGCCCTGCGAACCCCCTCCCCTGCCCCCGTGCAGGCTTGGAAACGGGCTCGTGGAGGTGGGACCCCCCACCCCAGGTCCCGGGCCCGGGTGTCCCCCGTACGGCTTCCCCTCTGGGGTGTGAGAAGTCTGTCTAGAGCCTTGAGTTTCATTTGTGTGTCTGTTTCTTGGGCATCGGCAGCTCCTCTGCGTCCCCCAGTGCTCACGTGTCTCGTCAACTCAGGCCGATGTGAGCCTCTGAGAGAACGTGTGAGGGAGGCGCGGTTAGGACCACGCTAAGCCGGATAACGGCACTGAAGCAAGAATGAGTCCTTGATTAAAGGGGACAGAAAATGTTGGCTAGACCTGAGTCCCTGTGGGGACGTTTAAACATACTTGTGTGTACTCAGGCGCACGTGCATCTGCTCCGCGTGACTGGGGCTGACTTTTAAAAGTGCATCTGTGAAGCTTGACCGTAAGAGTGTTGCTAGAACGTTCGTTCTGACATTTGTCATACGTTTGACCCATCTTTACTGCTCCCTAAGTGGCCGGCTGTTACGTAAGAGAGATGGCTGTGAAACGGTGCCCTTGTAGGAAACGCGTGGTTCGTACGCAGTAACGGAATGCCAGGAGGTCAGATCAAATGGAAAACAGTCCTCCCAGTGTAGCTTGGAGCGATGCCCGGAGCAGTGATGCCGTGTTTCATGTAGATGGGAGGCTGTGTCAGTGGTGTCCTGCTTGTCTCATCTTTGCTTTTTTTCCCTTTATAATTGTAGGAGAAAACCAAAGAACTCGCTGAGAAGCAGGCGCACCTGTAAGTACGGCCCCGTCTTCGTACCCGCCCAGCAGGCCACTGGTTCCCCAGGAGCCAAGTCCCAGCAGCCCTCACCCTGCAACCTCTGGGGTCAGCTCTGTGTCTTTCTGTCTCAGGGTGGCTGTTTCCATGTCTGTAGTCACCACCCTGGGCAGCTCTGTGTCGGGGAGGTCTCTCCAGAGCATCTGTGAGACGAGTGGGCACGACCCTCCGGGAAGCCTTCTCCTCGCCCTCCCGTAGTTGCTGTGTTAATGCGAACCTGCTGCTTTGGGGAAGTGGACGCCTCCCGGTGTAGAGGTGGGGCAGGGGGTCTCCGCTGTCCAACGTCGGTTTTCATAGAAAGTACGGGTTCTACTTTTACGCGCCGCTGGGGGGACTTGAGGAAACCATTTGGCATTAACGGTAAAGACGTGCGTATCCTGGGACACCCCCCGCCTGCCCTTGAGCGGACACCACCGAGAACCGCCTTCGCAGAAGGTGGCGGCGGCACCTGTGTTTGTGCTGTGGACCCCTAGCCATGGTGAAGGCTTGAAGGCCACAGCTGTCCGTCCCCTTGAAGGAACACGCACATGTGGTGACAGCCCGAGCAGAGGTTGCCTGTGGTCACTGCCCGTCGTGGACGAAGGGCTCGCGGGGCCTTAAGTCATGCTGCGGTCCACGGGGTTTGCCTCATTTCTGTTTATGTGAGGATGACACGTGAAGAAGATACTCCGTTTATAAAGCACATGGTTGCTGTCCGTGCTTGTGGGGTACCGTCCGCCCGTGGTCCTGTAAGCCAGTGGTCCCCAATCTTTTTGGCACCAGGGACTGGTTTCGTGGCAGACAGTTTCTCCACGGACGGGGCGGGGAGTGGGAGATGGTTCAGGTGGTGATGAGAGCGACGGGGAGCGGCAGATGAAGCTTCGCTCACTCGCCCGCCGCTCACCTCCTGCTGTGCGGCCCGGGGCTGCGGGGTGGGGGGGGACCTCTGCTGCAAGGGAGTCGGGAGGAAGCATTATTATCCCCTCCTTCCGAAGCCGGGAACTAGAGGCTCAGAGACGGGAAGCCGGGGTCTGAGCAGCGAAGCTCCCGCCGGGCTGAGTGGAGCAGAATCCCTGTCGCTCACGAATGTGCTCTGTTGGCTGCCGCCCTGCTCGAGGGTAGTGGGTAGCGGGTAGCGGGGTGCTGTTACAGGCCAGGCCCCGGGAGGGGGGCCCCACGGAAGACAGCCTACAGCTGGCCCGGCATGGAGGGACCAGCTGAGGCCCAGGCAGCTCGGAGAAGCCCTGCATCCTTCAGGTTCCGAACGGGAGGGGAAGTCCGCGAGGGAGCTAGCCTCACCTGCGGCTCTGTCCTGTCCCCAGGGTGAGGCGGGCCTGGAGGGAGGAGTCCTCAGGAGAACCCTGCCCTCGCCCTCCAGCGCATCCTCCCACTGGTGCCTGTCCGCTGGGGCCTTGGCCCTTAGACAGGAGGAAACAGCCCCTCCTTCAGCAGCTCCTTGTGTCATTAGGGCCTAAAAACAGCCCTGGCTCCATCCCAGCGAATGCTTTTTTTTAAAAAAATTATGAATCACTTTCAAAATACAGGAGAGTACAGAGCGTATCAGTTACCCCTGAACCCACACCTGAATTTCACATGATTCACGTTTTGCCCCATTAGCTTCAGGTCTTTCTTGTGTGCTTCTTTTAAAATTGTAAGTGGCCGTTAACTCTTCCTGAATGCTTTTTCCGCGTCTGTGATCGTCACACATTTTCCCCTTGAATCTGAGTGTGGGTCCTACATCAGGAGGTTTTCTGAACCGTGATTGGATTCCCGGGATCGCACCTCTCATAACTATTGATTTTGTCGTTAGCAAGGCGAGATGCGGTTTGTTGATACTTCAGGATTTTCCCATCTGAATTCATAAGTAGAATCGGCCTGTGAATTCATTTATTGTTTTGTATTGTCCTTGTCTGATTTTAATGGCAAGGTTCTCAGAAATGAATTGGGCAGCCTTCTCTGCTTTCAGTTCTCTGAGTCGATTTGTCGGAGGGTGAGGACTCTGGGCCGCGGAGGTTTCCTGGAAGCGGCCCAGAAAAGCGTCTGGGCGGCGCCTGTGTTTGCTGATTCCATTTCTTTAATGTTTATGGTTTGTTTAGTTTTCTGTTTCTTCTTGTGTTGATTTTGGTAAGTTTTGCTTTCCTAGGAAGTTATCTATTGCCTGTGTTTTCAAAGTTATTGGAATAAAATGGTTCATTATATTCTTGTAGGACTTCTTTCATCTCTAATATGTTTGTAGTGATATCGCCTTATTTAATTCCTGTTGTGTTCCTATTTTTTCTCTCCCCACCCCCTTTGATTTATCTTCCCAGGCATTTGTCTGTTATCATCTGTTTAAAAGAACCAATTTTGTTGTTTCTGTTTACCTTTTCTTTGATTTCTATTCCATTTACCTCTTTATTATTTCCTTATCCTTGCATAATTTCTGTTTTAATTTCTTCTTTGACTCATGAATTGTTTAGAAAGTTTTTTGAAATTTTTTCATTTTTTTATTTACTAACAAAAATGTTTTAAATTTTATTTTCAGTAATCAATAATATATTATTAATAATAATTAATATAGAAGAGCAATAATTTCTCTTGTACAGGTGTCCCAGATGATCTTTATTTTTATTTTAAAAAATGTTATGGCCGCATCATGCGTCATGAGGGATCAGTTCCCCGACCAGGGATCGAATCCGCGCCCCCTGCCGTGGAAGCGCAGTCTTAACCGCTGGACCACCAGGGAAGTCCCCCAGATGATTTCTTTTTAAATTTATATCAGAACGTCATTGATTTGATTTGGTTTATTTTTATTTATTTTACTGTGGTGAGAACATTTAACATGAAAGCTATGCTCTTAAACTTTTAAGCGTGCAGTACAGTATCGTTAACTGTAGGTGCACTGTCGTACAGCAGGTCTCTAGAACTCGCTCATCCTGCGTAATTGAGACTTTATGCTCATTGATGAGCAGTTTCTCTTGTCTGCCCTCCTGCCCCCACCCCTGGTAACCGCCCCTCTGCTCGCTGATTCTGTGAGTTTGACTGTTTTGGGTCCCTCATGTAAGTGGAGTCACATAGTACGTGTCCTTCTGTGATTGGCTTATTTCACTGAGCATCATGTCTTCAGGGTTCATCCGTGTTGTTGCATATTGCAGGATTTCCTTCATTTTTTATTTTGTTTTGCGGTACGCGGGCCTCTCACTGTTGTGGCCTCTCCCGTTGCGGAGCACAGGCTCCGGACACGCAGGCTCAGCGGCCATGGCTCATGGGCCCAGCCGCTCCGCGGCATGTGGGATCCTCCTGGACCGGGGCACAAACCCGTGTGCCCTGCATTGGCAGGCGGACTGTCAACCACTGCGCCACCAGGGAAGCCCTCCTTCTTTATTTAATGGATAATGTTCCATTGTGTTATAAACCAGATTTTCTTTATTCATTCATTCGTCAGTAGACCTTGCGTTTGATTCCACGTCTCGGATATTATGAGTAGTGCTGCAGTGAACACCAGGGTGCTAATATTTCTTGGAGATCCTGATTTCAATTCTTTTGGATAAACACTAAGAAGTGGAATTGCTGGATCATAAGGTAGTTCTACTTATAGTTTTTTGAGGAACCTCCGTACTGTTTTACACAGTGGCTGCACCAGTTTGCATTCCTGCCAGCAGTGCACAAGGGTTCTGATTTTCCCACATCGTCACCAATACTTGTTGACTCTGGTCTTTTTCATGAAACCATGACAGGCGTGGGGTGGCAGCTGCTTGAGTTTTGACTTGCATTTCCCTGATGATTATGTATGTTGAGAACCTTTTCGTGCTCCTCTGGCTGGCTGTCTACTTTGGAGACATATCTGTTCAAGTCTTCAGCGCCTTTTTAGTCGGGTTATTAGTGGTTTGTTTTGTTTTGTTTTGTTTGCTTTTGAGTTGTAGGAATTCCTTATGTGTATTGGGAAATTCACCCCGTATCTGATATGTGGTTTGCAAATGTTTTCTCCCATTCCGTGGGCTGCCTTCTTATTCTGTTAACGGTTTCCTTTGCTGCACAGAAGCCTTTTCGTTTGACCTATCGCCGCTTGTCTATGTGTGTTTTTATTGCCTGCGCCTTTGGTGTCATGTCCCTGAAATCGTCGTGCCTACTCGGTGCTTGCCCGGACGGGTGGGCCAGGCCGCTGTGCCTTGTTTGTGCCCCACGGTACGGCAGGGCTGGCCGGTGGCGCGTCCTCAGCGCTGACCTCGCTGGGACCCGACACCAAAGCTCCGCTTGGCAGTAGCTGGTGGACTGTTTTTCCGTGCAGGCCTGCCTGTCTGTCCCGTTGAGTTCTGGGCGGAATGGAGAAGGGCAATAAATGTTGAAAACAAAATGGAGCTAGGCTCTGACGAGCAGATTCATCCTTTTTTGACGACATAAAGCTCTTCGTGCATGCACGTGTGTGTGTAATTCAACCAGCGAGGAGAACGGACGAGAGGAGCAAGATAAGCAGTGGAAACAAGGAGACGCATCTGAAGCCTGTACCTCCCCAGGAGCAGGACAGAGGGGGGTCATGCTGTCTGTGGACAAAAGTGAAGTTACGTCAGAGAGAGCAGCAAAGTGCAGGCACAAGGAGAACGTGGGGAAGGGAGCCCGAGGCCCGTGGGGCGCGGAGGAGGCCGAGGCTGCAGCCCGCCCGACACTTCCGCACCAACCCTGCCGCTGATATGGCCCGTCGGCTTTTCCCGTGGGCCTGATCGCCAGGACCCCCGGCACGACGGTCACTGCAACAGCCGGAGTCCCTGAGCTGCTCCGGGCGCCGGCAAGCCCTCCAGGCAGGATGAAGAGCCTAGGGACAGCGCCGTCCTCGCGCGATGCCCGCAGACGCCCGCCTTGACCCCCGGAATCCGCCAGTAAGAGGCACAGCCCAGCGTCACCCCCAGACAGACCCAGTTACCTCTGAGTGGTTTGATTTGCTTGTCAATGGATCTCTGCTCACCTGTCAGAGCACCTGGCAGGTGTGGTCAGGGACCCTGCGGTGTGAGGATGCTCTCAGAATGCACGGCCCACCGACGGGCTTGCTGTCGGGATGAGGAACCGTGCCGGCGAGACACCGACTGGCATTTAGAGGGAGGAATCGCCCGGAGCTCTGCTCGCCGCACCCGCCCCTCGGCCTCCCCAGGAGGCTGGTGAGGACAGCGCGGTGCTTCTGTCACATTGCAGGCGACTCGGACACCAGGTCCTGCATGCTGGTGGCTGGGGCCCGGGAGACGCGGGAGGAGGGGCTTGAGATGGGCGGAGCTGACCTCGCAGGCTCCCATCGAGGGAGGCAGGCGGCCCTCACGTGCCCAGTGTCCCCTGGAAAGGGAGTGCCACGGGCCCTCTACCCCAGGCGGCCGTCCCCCAGGGTGGGATGGGGTTGGAGGGCCGGGAAGGGCCTAGCTCCATGCCGCCGCCTGGGAGCCCCTCCCGCCCCTCTCCTCTGCCCGCCGCCCGGCCCCAGACACGGCCAGGCAGCCCCCGTGAGTGGGGTCGTTTGTGGGTTTCCTAACGGTACCTCTGAGTCTTCCAGTAGCGCCCGCGATCCCTGCCTCCTGGCGCTGCCTTAGCCGTCGTCTTCCGCCTCCTGCCGGGACGCGGCGGCACTTAGCTGCGCTTGTCCGATCACCGCCCCAAGAGATGCGCCTCTGCTTGCTTCCTCTGTTAGTTACGTTCCTCACTTAAGACACCCGCCCTCGTCTCTCTTGCTCTCGGGTACGAGGGGCAATTCCTGTTGCTTGTCCGAACGGTCACAGCCGCTCTGTTCTCTGATTCTCAAAGACAAGATGTGAAAAGAAACCGTTTACCAGAGTCCTTTTCCAGCGTGGCCTCGGGCGGTCCTTCCTGTGAGGGTTTGTAGGCGATGTGCCTCTCACAGGTTATGGATCTGAATCCAGTTCCCGGCCTGACGCTGGCAGGCTGACAGATCGCGGTGGGTGTTTTGAGCGTCCGCTGTTCTCACGCACAGAGAGCGGCGGGTTCGGCGTGACTCTTGGTCTCTGTCTTGGCAGCCAGGAGCCCCTCTCCACGGCCAGCTTCACCATGGCGGGCCTGGTTCCGGACCTGCAGCACATCCTCTTCTGGATGTCCAACTCGGTTGAGCTTTTGTACTTTATCCAGCAGAAGTGCCCACTCTACATGCAGAGCCTGGAGGAGGACCTGGATGTCACAGGTATGGCCGTGCTGCTGCTCCCAGGTGGTGAGCAGGGGAGAGGTGGCCCCCAGAGCAGAGACGGGTGTGTGTCGGGGGCGTCCCCAAAGAGGGAGGTGACCTGCCGGTCGGGCTATAACCCGGTGCCTCTCGTCTGTGACGCGTCGGCGTTCTCTGTCCCCGTCATTTCACGCAGCCCCACTGGGGGAGGCCCGGGAGACACAGGTCACTCACTGCATTCTGTCAGCCCTTGGTCACCAGCCCCTCCAGAACGCACCGCAGTCTCAGAAAGGAGGCGCGTTGCTCGTGAGAGTTACGAGACTGTGCGACACGTGTTGACTTCAGAGACTAAAACGTAGGAAAACGTGCCTCCTAGAGCTGATGCAACGCAGCGTAAAGCGCTGAAAACGCTCAGTGAGAGAGTGACTCTGACTGGGGCGGTCTAGGAGGGCTTCGTGGAGAAGGTGGCGTTCGGCCAGGCCCTGAGGGGGTGTGAGATGTCAGCTGGCGTGTGTCTGATGGGGCTGCAGCGTGTCCTGGCACTGAGCCGGGACGGAGCAGCGGGGCTGCATGCAGCAGGACCGGGTGTGGCAGCTGGGGACCAGAGGCTCGGTTTCGTCCCGTGCGGCCTCGCTCTGCCCTGCGAGGACAGAGCCGGGGGCCTGCCTGCCTCGGGGAGCGGTGGGGAGGCCACTCGGCAGGACGGGCGCGGCCGTGTCTCCCGGGACACAGGCTCACAGTCGGCCTGAGGCCCTGGGCCCTGCTGGTTCCCCTGATGCCGACCGGCTAGGTTCCTAGGGGAGGGGCTCGTGGCGGCCTCCGGCGAGGCGGCTGGTCTGCCCAGGGGCGGGCTGTCCCACTCTGCGCTCAGTTGGCCACCGGCTTCGGAGACGGGGTGGCGAGGCCGAGGCCCTGGGGCGTCCCGGCCAGGCCCGGGGAGATGGGGTCCGCCTACCTTCCTCTCGTCAGTTGTGGTTTCTGAGTCTTTTCTGCCCCCGACTTCGCAGGGAAGGGGCAGTGGGGACTGTCTTGGGCTCCCAGGGCCTCCGTGGATATGTGGCAGAAGCAGTGTCTCCTCCGTGCCCCAGTGGTCGGTCATTCGTTGCAGGCCCGCTGGCCTGTCGCTCCCTCCCTTGGGCGGACATTGTGAACACCGTCCAGTAGACCCCCAGGATGGGGCAGCTGCTGTCTGTCCACCGGGCCTGGGTTGGACACAGACTGTCACCCACCTTTGCCCCGAACGTGACGCGAGGACCACACCTCCCGAGTCTCCGTCGGCAGTGCGCCTCGCTCTGCGCAGCAGCCCGGGCCCACCCCGGGCCTGGTGCTGCTGGAATCCAGCGTTTGCAGAGGCTTCCTGTCACCTCTCTCCCCAGACCCTGCTGAGCTCTTTTGGGGGGGTGGCCTCCAGCCCCCCAGGACTGAGGCCGCAGCGCTCAGCGGGCTCTGAGTGCAGGGGACTCTTGTGCACGTGGCGTCGGCCGGCGAGCACCCGGCCTCTGGCTGGTCCTTCCGTGTGGAAGCCAGGAGGCCAGGTCGGGAGACGGCACCCCGTCACCCCGACTTCGGGCACAGTGCTCACAGGCGAGTCCCGCCGGTGCCCCTCCTTGTCTGGACATATTTCAGACGCAGTGTTGAGAGGCTGCAGGCCTGGGGTTAGCATATCCTTCACAGGGACCCTGAGTCAGGCTGATCTTCATGAAAAAAGCTGCTGGGGGTTCTGTTCTTAGGAAGATATTCTTGGTCCAAGGCCCAGATGTCGTGTAGGCCAGTCGACGTTGGGAGAGTGAGCACGTGGACGGCTGGGGTCCCACCTCTGCCCGCCCCGGGGACCACAAGGGCTGGGGAAACCACAGCAGGGCCTGAGCGTCCCGGAAACAACGTCCGGGGCGGTGCAGGCTCCGGAGAGCTCAGAGGAAAAAACCATCAACCAGGGGGCGAAGGGAAGGTCAGAGTTGGCGTGTTTGGCCTCCTGACCTTTAGCAGGAAATATCTGTGGGAAGAATTCTAAAAACAGAGATGTGTCATGTCCTGAAAACTGGAAAAAGAGCTTTTTCTTCCCCAAACAACCTTTTCTGTCTGAAGCTCTTATCCAGGAAGCCCGTTCACAGGGGAAGATAAAAGATTAGCCCATCGGGGGGACGTTTATTTAATTCATTTAAAGTTCTCCTGTAAGGCTTTGAGGCTCTGCCTCAGCGCCTGCGGACTGTGGGGTCCCAGGGGGCGGTCCTCAGCCCCGGGGCCTCGGGAGGGAGGGGGGACGAGGCCCGGGTCCTCTGACAGGCGCGTGCGGGCGTCAGCTGAGTCGGAAACCCCAGCAGAGCCCGCGCCGCGGCTAGGAGGGTTTCAGGGTGTTTCTGCGGCGTCTGCTGGGAGCCGCCTGGGGTTGTGCTCTGTGGACCCCAGCCTCCTCCCTCTGTCCGTCCCCTCCTCCCTCTCTCCAGAGCCCCCGGGCCCACATGAGGGGCGTAGGTCTCCTTCTCAGACAAGCTGGCGCCGTCAGAGCCTGCGGCCCCTACAGTCACCCAATTGGCTTCTCCCCCAAAGCCCAGGGGGGCTGCAGGGAGCAGCCAGACCCTGCCGGGCTCCGGGAAGGGCCCTGGGGAGGCCCCGCAGGCCTCCGGCTTCCTGGTCGGGAGGGTTCTGGGAGGCCCTGGGGGGGTCAGGGAGCCCCGAGCCCTCGATGGGCCATGCTGGCGTCTGCAGGGCGGGTCTCTGACGGACGCGCACACCGTTTCCGTTGGCCCAGTAGCCGGGCGGCCCTGTCCCTGTGCTCCTGGGAGGCCCAGCTTAGCGCTCAGGGCTATTCCCGGCCTCCCTCCCTCCCTCCCTGAAAGGAGGTTCCCAGACGTGGGGCCCACTCTGTGCACTAAGCAAGAGGCCGCCCGGGACGGGCAGCGCAGGACGGGCAGCGCAGGAAAGCCTCGCCGCCGGCCTTCGTCCTCGCCAGGAGAAGCGAGGGGCCGAGCGAGCGGAGGCTGGAGGCGGGCGTCCCGTCCGGTCCCTCCCCAAGTGCCACTGGGGCCGCTGGCACCAGGCACCTCATGCCTCCCGACTTCGGGAAGGCCCCTCGGGACGGCCCCTCCCTGTTGGGCCCCTGGTCTTGGGGACCCCGTGGCCAGCCTGGCCTCTTGGCCGTACAGGAGCCCCACCCGGGGGAGGGAGTCAGCTGGCGTGGCTCACACCCCCCAGTCCCAGCCGCAGCTGCAGCCCCCCGGCCGCTGCCCAGCCTGGGAGGCCCGTCCCCCGAGGTGCTGAGCGCCCAGGGTCTCCGCTCTGTGCCTGCGACACGGCAGTGTCTTCCCTGGGGGGCGCTAGTGGGGGGGAACGGGGCACGAGGGCCATCTGGGCTTCTCGGGAAAGTGTCGTGACGGCCTCCTTAGGACCTCTGGCCAGGTGTCCTTTGACCTGTATCCCTAGTGAGAAGTGACCTGCGGGCCAGGATCTGCCAGCGCTGGGCACTTGGTCCCGACCCCGTATCCGGAAGCTGCTAGCGCGTGAGCGTCCGCTGCGCTTGGTATCGAGTTGGTGTCCATGGGCTTGGAAGCTCGGGGCCCGGGGTCCCAGGGGCCCCGTGGCTTTGGTTTGTCACATTTTCCAAACCCAAGAGGAGGGTGCTGGGCGGAGGCCTCAGGAGGCGTCGGGTGGGGGTTTGAACTCGCGGCAGTTCCAGAAGGTTCCTGCCCGAGTCCCCCCTCCCCTGGCCCTGCAGTGACAGCGCCACATTCCCCCGCAGGCTCGAAGGAGTCCCTGTTCTCCTGCACGCTCACGGCCAGTGAGGAGGCCATGGCAGTGCTGGAGGAGGTCATCCTGTACGCCTTCCAGCAGTGCGTGTACTACGTCTCCAAGGTACGGCCTCTGCGTGCGCGTTCTCCCGGGGGACCTGCATGCCGGCCCGGCCGCCTCTGCCCGCCCGGACCCCGGCCTCGGGCCCCTGGCCCCCTCACCTGCCGTTGCTCTCGTCGAGCGAGTCCTCTGCCCCAGGCGGGGCCAGCGAGCGAGAGAGACGGGGCCGGCTGCTCTGGGGAGGCGTCTCGGACGGCGGGCCAGCTGTGCGGTGGTTCCGGCTGCCGTGGCCCCGGCTCCCCTGCCCGCGCCGTCCCTAACGCTGGTGGGGGCAGCCGTGCGGCCATGTCTCGGGACTCAGAGCCGAGCGGGGGACCCCGGGGCTCTGCCGTGTCCTTGGGTCAGTGGGGCTCACTCGCCCCCACTCCGTCCAGTAAAACCCTTCTGATAAAATAAGAAGAGGGCGAAGCCCCCTGCCCTCAGGGTCCTCTGGGTGCCGTCCGGCCCCTTTGCCGGAGCCCCTGCAGCCCGTGTCATCTGCGCCTTCGCTGGGAGGTTTACCGATCCCCCTCCCCGCTGCGGCTCCCACTGGCTGAGCCCGGCGCTCACACGTGGGTCGCTGACACACGTGGTCTGGCCGAGGCGTGAGCGGGATGGGTCGGGCCCGGGGCCCCCGCCCACAGCAGCCGGTGTTTTCCTCTCGCCCGCAGTCCCTGTACGTGTGCCTCCCGGCCCTGCTGGAGTGCCCCCCCTTCCAGCTGGAGTGCCGCGAGAGCTGGTGCTCGGCCCCTCAGCTGCCCGAGGAGCTGCACCGCGTCGTGTCCATCTACCAGGCCACCCTGGACCTCCTGCGGCCGCTGCAGGTGCACCCCGAGATCGCCGCCCAGGTGCTGGCCTACCTCTTCTTCTTCTCCGGCACGCTGCTCTTCAACCAGCTCCTGGACAAGGGTGAGGGTCCGGGGCGGACAGCCCGCAGGGCCACTGAGCGTGTCCTTCCGGAGACCAGCGGGTTGAGCTGTCCCGCTCCGTGGTGTCTGGGCGGGTGCCGCGGGGGGAGGACGTGCTGCAGAGCCTGTCCCTGTGGGAGCGGGAGCCGCCCATCTGTGTCTGCACAGGGCCCCGCCGGCCTTTCCTGGTTTATTTTATCCCCGCGTGGCCTGGGGCCCCTGTGAGCGAGGAGGCAGCAGGCTCAGGGAAGTGACGTGGCCTTTGACCCTGCCTCACTGCCACCCAGATCTCCTCCATCGCCCTGCCCAGCGCTCAGGGCCGAGGCAGTGCTGGGGTGCGGGGCAGGGAGAGCGGGGCCAGCCCACAGCACGTGCGAAGCCTGGACCACGGCCCTCTGCACTTGGGGTCGCGTGGCTGTCACCGCCCCTCCCTGCCCTGCCACCTTCACCTCCCACCTCCATACCCACCCACCCATGCCCAGAGAGGTGTCTGGAAGCAGGTAGTTGTCTTAGAAACTGACGTAAGGTCTTCCGTCTGTCCAGAGGCCTGGTGGGGGGGGCGCGGGAGGAGGACAGGGCTAGGGCCCAGCCGGGCCTGGCTCCCTCGGGGTGGGGGGTGGCGGGCAGCATGCCTGCCCTGCGGGGGCTGCCCGGCATCACCCTCGTTCCCTCCCTCCATTCCCAGGGCCCTCTCTGAGTTGCTTCCACTGGCCCAGAGGCGTCCAGGCCTGTGCCCGCCTGCAGCAGCTCCTGGAGTGGACACGGAATGCCGGCTTTGGCGAGGCTGGAGAGCGCTTCTTCCGGAAGCTTTCCTGCACACTCAGCCTGCTGGCCACGCCCAGTGCCCAGCTCGTGCAGGTGGGAGGGGTACGGAGGGTGGGGGGCAGCGGGCGCAGCGAGGATGGGGCGGCACGCTGCACGGTCGCCCTGGGGACAGCAGCTTGCAGACCAGGAGGGGCTCAGTGGGCTTGCAGTGGCTTAGTCCACAGCTGTTCCCACCTGCAGGCGGGATAACGGCCCCAGGATGTCTGTGTCTAGTCTCTGACCTGCAGCTGTGGCCACAGGGGGCCCTGCTGATGTGGGGAGGTCACCCCGGGGCACCTGGTGGCCCCGTCTAAGCACACGAGTCCTTAAAACTGGGAAAATATTTGCAAACGATGAGACCAACAAGGGCTTAATTTCCAAAATCTACAAACAACTCATACAGCTCGATATCAAAAAACAACACAATAAAAAAATGGGCAAAAGACCTAAACAGACATTTCTCCAAAGAAGATATACAGATGACCAAAAGGCACATGAAAAGACGCTCAGCATTGCTGCTTATCAGAGAAATGCAAGTTGAAACTACAGTGAGGTATCACCTCACACCGGTTGGAATGGCCATCATTCAAAAGCCTACAAATAACAATTGCTGGAGAGGGCGTGGACAGAAGGGAGCCTCTTGCACTGTTGGTGGGGATGTAAACTGTGCAGCCACTATGGAGAATGGTATGGAGGTTCCTCAGAAAACTAAAGATAGAGCTACCATATGACCCAGCAATCCCACTCCTGGGCACATATCCAGAGAAAACTCTAATTCGAAAAGACATATGCGCCGCAGTGTTCACAGCAGCACTATTTTCAACAGCCCAGACACGGAAGCCACCTAAATGTCCATCAACAGACGACTGGCTTAAGGAGATGTGGTACATGTATGCGATGGAGTACTACTCAGCCATAAAAAAGAATGAAATAATGCCATTTGCAGCAATATGGATGGACCTAGAGATCGTCATACTAAGCGAAGTAAGTCAGAAAGAGAAGGAGAAAGACAAATACCATGTGATCATGACTTCTGTGTGAAATCTGAAAATATGATACCAATGAATTTATTTACAAAACAGAAACAGACTCACAGGCATAGAAAACAAACTTATGGTTACCAGAGGGGAAAGTGGGCGGGGGGAGGGATAAATTAGGAATTTGGGATTAACAGATACAAACTACTACACATAAAACAGGTGAACAACAAGGTCCTACTGTACAGCACAGGGAACTATATTCAATATCCCGTGATAAACCATAATGGAAAGGAATCCGAAGCAGGATCGTATATGTATAAAATCACTTTATCGTAGACCAGTAACTAACAGAACGCTGCAAATCAACTATACTTGAACAAAAGAAGAAAGAGGGAAGCAGAAGAGTGGGTCAGAGAGACAGGAAAGGGCTGGCTCTGAAGGTGGAGGACGGGGCCACGGGGCAAGGGTACAGCAGCCTCCAGGAGCTGGGAATGGCCCTCGGCTGGAGGCCAGCACAGGAACGGGACCTCAGTCCTACAACCACAGGCAAACGGATCCTGCCCTGGGGCCGCCAGAAGGAGCACAGCCCTGCAACTCTTGATTCTAGCCTGTGCGACCTGCGCTGGACGTCCGACCCCCAGAACTGTAAGACTGCGCTCACGGTGATCTCACTGCCACCTTCGTGGTCATTTGTTAGAACAGCAGCAGGAAACGGACACAGCTCACCTGCCTCCCTCACCTGCTGTGCGACATGGTCGTCACAGGTAATCAGCGAGACCAAGCTACCCAGGCCCTTTCCTGCCGGGCAGCGACATGGAACCCACCCAGGGGATGGCCAGCGTGTTTGCAGGGTGGCCCCATGGACTCCGCTTCCCACGCCCTGGGGAGCTGCTCCGTGTTTGAACCGCGTAGGGGACCGGCTGCCCCGTCCGCCCCCGTGAAGTCCCAGCCGACGTGAGCGCAGCCAGGAAGCCCCACATGGTAGTGACGGCGTCCACAGCCACGGCCACCACGGGCAGCCACGAGCCACTGTGTGGAGCTCAGACTTGGGCAGCGCATCCGCCTGCAGAGGGGAAGACGAGATGGGGTCCCCCCGGGGCGCTGCTGTGCACACTGCTCTTGCCCTGGGCCTGGCACACAGGCGTGTGCCCTGGCGAAGTTACCACAGGGGTCCCCAACCCCCAGGCCACGGACCAGTACCAGTCCGTGGCCTGATAGGAACCGGGCCGCACGGCAGGAGGTGAGCGGTGGGTGAGCGGGTGAAGCTCCAGCTGTATGTACGGCCGCTCCCCATGGCTCGCGTCACCGCCTGAGCTCCGCCTCCTGTCAGACCAGCGGCGGCATCAGATTCTCACAGGAGCGCAAACCCTACTGTGAACCGCGTGTACGAGGGATCTAGGTGGCACGCTCCTTAGGAGAATCTAATGCCTGGTGATCCCAGGTGGGGGCGCTGGCGCTGGGGAGGGGCCGCAAATGCAGATCCTTAGCACAGAGGTTTGACTGTCCAGAGACCATAATAAGTCAGTTACTTGCAGACTCATATCAAAACCCTATCCGTGAGCGGCAAGTGACAATTAGCTCAGGGCTCCCACTGAGTCTGCATTGTGGTGAGTTGTATAATTATTTCATTACACATTACAGTGTAATGATAATAGAAATAAAGTGCACAATAGATGTAATGCGCTTGAATCATCCCCACACCATCCCCCACTGGCGCCCAGTCCGTGGAAAAATTGTCTTCCACGAAACCGGTCCCTGGTGCCAAACGCATTGGGGACCGCTGAGTTACCAAGCTGGGTGCTTCAGGTTTGCGTGGTTTTCTGTGGTTTCTGTGGTGTTTGTACTTCAGTACAAAATGCACGGCAAGGAAGGAGCAGCGGTGCACTAGCTGCTCAGCTGCGCCTCTCCCTGCACAGCTGGGAGCTGCCTGCTCCGTCCTCTGGCAGAAGACTGGGGTCTATTTCTAGAGCATTTAAGACCGAGGGTCTCCAGGTTGGGACACGGGATCTCACCCTGAAGGAGGGAGCACCCCGGTGGCAGAGCCCCCATTGCTGGAGCCCCGCACTCTCGCCCACCAGGCCCGGGCCTGCGCCCTCCAAGCAGGGGGCGGCCAACTTGGCAGGGCTGGCGGTCAGCGACAGCCCAGGGCAGGACGGAGGATGCTGACACTGGGCCTCCACAGCCAACCAGCCAGGAGAGGGAGAGAGAGGCAGGGAGTGAGGCAAAGAGGCCTCAGGCCGTAGTTTGCCACCCTCAAAACGGACTGTTCAGGGAGGAGAAACTTACTTAAAAAACCATTTGTAGGGCTTCCCTGGTGGCGCAGCGGTTGAGAGTCCGCCTGCCGATGCAGGGGACGCGGGTTCGTGCCCCGGTCCGGGAAGATCCCGCATGCCGCGGAGCAGCTGGGCCCGTGAGCCATGGCCGCTGAGCCTGCGCGTCCGGAGCCTGTGAGGAGAGGCCCGCGTACAGAGAAAAAAAAAAAAAAAAAAAAAAACATTTGTATCGTCTTAAAGATAAGGGAAGGTACAGTAACCATTACATAACAGGATGCTATAAATAAGAGAACAAAAAGAATTCTTGGAAGTTACAACTACGACAGCAGAGATGCAGAGTTCAGTAGCAGAGCTGGAAGATAAAGTCCAGGAGATCGCCCGGAAGCAGAGCCAGCAAGGTGGAAGAGGCGCTCGCTCCTGCTGGGGGACGGCTCAGCGCCGTCGGGGCGCCCGCCGACGCCAGCCTCGGAGAAGCACAGGCGTGGCGAAGCGTGGCTTCTAGGACGAAAGTCAAAACCACCTCCGGGCAGACGAGGCCGTCCTGTGCTGTCATGTGTTTGGGGTGGAGGTGTCAGGAAGAGGCCGCTCTCCCCGCTTCCCCACGTAGCTTAGGATGTTGTCTGTCCCTTCAGTGTCGATACTCGACAACCACCGCCCAGGCCTCTTGATGTGGGCAGTGAAATCAAACGTGGGCGAAACAGAGAAGAAGGAAGAAAGAAGGAAACTAAGGGACCGGTCAGGTGAGGCCCTGCATCCAAGCAGCGTGAGGCCAGAGACGGCGGGGCCGGCAGGGAGCGAAGACCAACCGCCAGTCGCCCAGCCCGCTCGACCCGAGTGTCCGGACTGCAGGTGCAGCCGGTGGGTGAAAAGCACAGTGGCTGAAACAGACCTGCACCAAGACACGCTCACAGGCTTGCAGAGACGCCGCTGAGCTTCCAGAGAAGAAGGAGAGCAGCTCGGGTCTGGAGGTCAGCGGTCAGGATGGTTTCCGACTTCTCAGGAGCGAATGCAGGAGCTGCCTCCCATATTCCCTCCGAGGCCAGCTCGAGCCTGGAGTCCTGATGCCTGATGGCGGGGACAGTGGCCTGAGGACGCTCTCCCACGCCAGGCCCCCAGCGTCCCCCTAGCACAGGCCTCCCTGGGAAGCTCCTCGAGAGCAGAAGGACGGGGTTCCAGGAAGCAAGACGGACGGAGACGGTAACTCAGCGACCTGCCGTTTGTCTTCTGCCAGGGCGCCTTCCCTGCCCCCGGCTGCCCCCGCAGTCTCGTGCGGCACCTAATGCTACCGTCGTGCCTTCGTGCAGGTCTTTGACCTGCTTGGCTCCCTTCACACGGTACGAGGTGGGGGTCCTATTTCACGGCCCCCTAACCTCCCAGTGGTCTCGCCCCGTTTCTTAGCCCCCCAAGGTGGTGTGACAGGGCTTGTTCGGTGGGCAGGGCACTCGGCGCGGTGCCTGCTGGCCTCTCCGGGGAACGCCCCCACCCCCCACCCGCCACCTGACCCGGCGCTCGCCCTGGACGCCCACAGGCATGGGGTGAGCTGCCCTCTGCACCGGCCTTGACCTCGGCCTCGCTGACCTCGCTGTCCCGCACGGACGCCCCAGGGCGGAGCGGGTGCTGGCGCAGGGAGCCCTGGGCCCTGCCGCCGGAGCTCCCAGAAGACAGGCCCTCCCTGGGGGGGCGGGCTGGGTCCCCGGCCTTTGACCAGGAGCTCCTTCTCGTCAGCAGATGAGCTGGGCGAACCTGCGGGCCGCGTTCCCTGCCCTGAGCCCTGCGCAGCTGCACCGCCTGCTGACCCAGTACCAGCTGGCCTCGGCCATGGGCCCCATGAGCGCCTGGGAGCCAGGTGCCCAGGACAGCCCCGCAGCCTTGAAGTCAGGTGAGGCGTCTCCTCCGGCTGGAGCTCAGAACTCGGGTGTGGCCCGGGGGCTCCTTGACCCCCAGGTCCCTGGGTCCCCAGGTGGGGGGACAGGGCAGGACACCCGAGGAGGAAGACGGCCCAGGGAGGAGGCTCGCCTTTGCCCCCAGGCTCTCGGCTCAGATCAGAGGTCCCCACTGCCCCTCATGGGGCCTCGCTGGGTGCACGGCCACCAGGAGGAGAGCAGGGTCTCCACACCAGCTGCCACGGCACAACCTGTCGGGAAACGGTGTCGAGCCATCTTGCCCTGGGTGTATTACGTGTGGAGACAGACGTACATACGTGTGTGTATATTTTTATGAGTTTTGTATCTCCTCATTAGCAGTATGTACACTATAACACAAGCAAAAACGGAAAGTAAAGGACGGGGGAAGATCCAGATAGAAGTAGGGCTTCCGACACCTGGTCACCTGGGGCTTGGGCCCTGGGCGCCGTCCCCCGCCCCGTTTACTGGTTCACGTCCAAGGCCTTCCGCGGAGGGAGGGAGGGGGCTCTGTGCTGGGCACCGGGAGCAAGGCAGGGGCTGCCGTCTTCCCTCTGTCTGGAAGGCGCGTGTGTCCTCGTGCGGAGGCCAGCACTTAGGCAGGCTGTGCTCAGCCCCGTGACACGTGCGCGGTGCAGGCGGCGTGGCCGCGGGGGCCCGGCAGGAGCAGGTGGCGGCCTGGGGTGCTGGTGTCTGGGCCGGGTGAGCTGGGCTCCAGGCTGGGGTGTGCGGTGGGCCCGGGGGAGCCAGGGGCCGCAGGCAGGGGTCGTGGCGTGGGGCCCAAGTGCCGAATGGTGGCGCCGGGGCTTCATCCTGGGTGCTCGCTGGGACTCAGGAGGCGTGAGAGCGCCGTATGGGCTTGTGCGGCCCCTCCCGTGTCCCCGGGGTCCCATGGCGTCAGGCGGGGGTGGCCGGGCAGCTGCCTCCTGGCCGGGGGGTCACGCCGCCCTCACCCCTGCAGAGGACGTCCTGGAGTCCTATGAAAACCCCCCACCCATCGTTTTGCCGAGCGAGGGCTTCCAGGTGGATCTGGAGGCCGACTGCCTGGACGACAGCCTCCACCAGCACCTCCTCTACATCCGCCACTTCCTGTGGAGCCTGCGGAGCAAGCCCAGCCCCGGCGGCAGGCCCGCGCGGCCAGAGTGTCTCCAGGTACTGGGGTGGACGCAGGAGCGGGGGGCTCCCGAGGCCGCGGAGGCTTGGGGGGCCCCTCTGTCCTCCCAGCACATCGGGCTTCCTGGTGCTGAGTTCTTTCCCCCTCCCCCAGGGCCCGCAACACACCAGCCCCGAGGGCCACCCTGAGGACCAGAGCCGCCCCCTGGCTTCCAGGGACCCTGGCAGGGGAGCCCGTGAGGCCGGCTTGGAGCGCACGCCTCCTTCCGCGGGGGACCCCCAGGCACAGGGCCCTCTGGGAAGGCCGCCAGGCCGCGTGAGCCGTGGGGGGGCCCAGGCCGGGGACCCACACGGGGACCCCTCGTGCCTGCTCACGCCTCCCGGCACCCCACTCAGCCTGGAACCCGCTGTCCCCGACTGGCCAGAAGCCAGCAGTGCCTGTGGGGAAGTGCTTCTGGAAGGGAGGAGGAACGGGCCGAGCGGCCCGGGGTGCGCAGCCCCACAAGGTGAGCCCCGAGCCAGGCCCGCACCCCAGTCCTGGCCCTGCTGGCTCCTGGGCAACTGCCTTGGGGTCCTTCCCCTGCGGGGCCCTGGTGTCGCGTCTGGCCCAGGCTGTCAGAGTTGCCCACGAACGCCTGTTGCCCTGGACACAGGACAGGCTCCTGGGGCAGCTGGGGAGGGCACCGTGTGGCTCAGGCCCGGGCAGCTGGGGACTCGGGGAGTCACTCTGCCCGGGGGAGAGGAAGGATGGCCCCATGACGTGTGTTGAGCCCCAGAGCCGATGCAAGGCCAGTGGGATCGGTGGGGGAGCGGGGCGGGGCGGGGGAGCTGGAGCCCTGGGCGTGTGGACACTGGGCTGGCCGGGCTGGAGGGCAACGAAGGGCAAGCATCCCCCAGCCCCGCCCGGCCCCTGGTGAGTCCTCAGTGCTCGCGCCAAGCTTAGAGGGTGCCCTGAGGGCAGGGGTCACTGGAACCGAGCTGGGCCTGAGGCAGGACACCTCTCAGCGACCTGGGCGGTGCCCCGGCAGGGCTCCACAACTGACCTCGTGGGGAGAGAGAGGGCGCAGGACCCTCAGCGTGGGGAGCAGCAAGGCCCAGCTGAAAAGAGCCCCAGCTCCGGAGGGACAGACGTGGGGTCACCGCTGAGAAGTGCGGTGGGAGAGGGCAGGGGAGGGAAAGCAGAGCCCCCTTCTCAACCTTCCGGAAGCACCCGGCCTCTGAGAGGGGCCGGTGTCCCGGGGCAGCACAGGGTGGCCTGACCCCCGTCACCCTGATGGTGGTCCAGGTCTGGCTTTTCCCTTCTGGCCAGACGGGCATCTTTCTGGACCTCTGTGAGCACGTGTCTCTTTGGAGTAGCTAAGCCAGGATGTCCCTGGGTCCGGACTCCTGGGCAGGCGCAGGCCCCCGGGGCAGAGTCTGGACAGAGGACTGAGCCGCCGGCCCCTGACCTTACCTAACCTCGCTGCATTTTTCTCGCCCGCCCAGGAGACTGTGCGGCCCCGGCGGCCGAGCCCCCTCCAGCCCCCTCCAGCCACAGCTCCAGCACGGACGACTTCTGCTACATGTTCGTGGTGGAGCTAGAGCGAGGCCCCTCCGGGCTGGGCATGGGCCTGGTCGACGGGATGGTGAGTGAGCTGCCCCGCCACTTCCTGCAGGCCCCCAGGCTCCTCTTCTTTCCCAGAGACGGGCCCACAGCTGGGGTGGTCACAGGCAGGCGGTGGGCAGAGGCCCATGGCCCTGGGGACCAGGGGCTGGTGGGGGCGTCTCAGCAGCTGCTTCCGCCGCCTGCACCCTCAGGCCTCATGGCGTCTGTCCTGGGCCTGCGGGGACTCTGATGGTGTCCAGCGCTGTCCTTGAAGACACACTGATGACCATACAGGAGCCCCACCGGGGGAGGGGCGGAGGTGGCCCTGCCTGGAGACCCCTGTGTGCGAGGGGCCCACGGAGCTCTGAGGCTTCCGCTTCTCCCCCAGCACACACCCCTGGGCGCCCCAGGGCTCTACATCCAGACCCTGCTCCCGGGCAGCCCCGCAGCGTCCGACGGGTGGCTGTCGCTGGGAGACCGCATCCTGGAGGTGAACGGCAGCAGCCTGGTGGGCGTCAGCTACCTGAGGTACCGCGCCTCGCCCCCCGCCCAGCCTGTGGGAGGCCACGCCCACCTGAGGTACCGCGCCTCGCCCCGCCCCCCGCCTGTGGGAGGCCACGCCCACCCTTGGGACGTCGGAGCTGAGTAAATGGAGGCACAGCCGTCGGGCCCGGCTCCCAAGGGCCACCCCCCGCCCTCCCCCCGCACTGGCCCTCCGATGACACACCGGTCCCCGCAGGGGCTCAGGCACCTTGGGGTGGGGCGGGCTCTGGACCAGGCCGCGAGAGCGCAGGCTCCGTGATCCCGATGCTCTGTCACAGCACGGGGGGCTCAGGGTTGCTGACTGTAACTGTCCACTTGGGGTGACAGCGGGGGGGGGGGGGGGGGGGTCGCCCCCCAGCGCCTCCAGGAGGCTCTGCCCGCCGGACCGGCACTGAGTCCTCACCCGGAGGGCTCTTCTACACCGTCCCCACCCCTTCTCTGCTTTCAGAGCCGTGGATCTGATCCGACACGGGGGAAAGAAGGTGCGGTTTCTGGTTGCCAAGTCAGACGTGGAAACGGCCAAGAAGATCCGCTTCCGCACGCCCCCTCCCTAGGCGCCGTGCAGGGGCGGCCCGAGCACCTACGCCTGCGGCTCCCAGGTTACGGCCCCTTCTGCCAGGCTGTTCGGTGTGGCTGCGTCACCCACAGGACGCTAGCCGCAGTCCCTAGTGTACATTTTGTTTTATTGATACGACACATAACACTAAGTTGTGATGCTTGTCACAGAGCCTTCGTGTTTGAAGATTTGAGTGTTAAAGTATAGATTCAATAAACTACCTTTCGTATTGTAGAGGGTGGCGGGGCGTGGAGTCTGGGTGGGCACCGTGCTGGCCCCCTAGAAGGGTTGCTGGAGGTGGGGCGGTGCCCTCCGAGGAACTGCTCCCTCCCTGCCAGCGCGGGAGAGACCCCGGGGGGACACAGGGCTCGCTGGGGTGCCGGGATGGCTCTAACTGCTCCTCGCCTGCCCTCCACCCTGCCCGCAAACAAGGAGCAGCGGGGGAGATGCAGACAGCCCCCGGCTGCCGAGGGAAAGGGCCAGAGCCGCCCCCATCAGAGGGGGCTGCACCCTCAGTGATTCCACACTCAGCACGGTCCCAAAGAAGGGGTCTGGAACCCCCTAGAAGGTTATAAAGTGAGAGTCTTGACCCACTGTGGGTATCCAGGCTTCCCCCCTCAGACTCACACCCCTCCTGATGTCCTCTCTGGTCGCTAAAGCCATGGCTGGGCCCTAATACCAGGCTGGCCGGTCCCAGGCTCTCAGTCTGCGGCCCGGCTGGTGTCCACCTGGTGGCCGTTGCTTCACCCTGGTGGGGGGGCCCGCCTCCTGCACCGGCCGCTGACCACGTGCAGGGCCGTGTTGGTGTCACAGTGGCAGCGGGCGCGGGCACCTCCCGGCTGGGTGTCTTCGGCAGGTTCGGCAGCGTGCGCCTCCCTGGGCTCTGGGCTGGGGTCCTCCTCTTCGACAGGAACAGAGACTCTGGGGACGAGAGGGTCCCGGCCAGGCAGCTGCAGACACACCCCTTACGTGGAAAGGGGTCTCGTGGAGGGACCAGCGGCCGGAAGGTGTGTCCCAGGCACTGGGCCTCGGGCAGCTGTGGGCGCAGAAGAGAGTGCAGGTGGGGGCCCGGGCCTGCGGGTGCTCAGTACCAGGTGTCCAGATTCCACCTGACCTGAAGCAGTTCCCAAAACGCTGGATGAAATGTACTTTAAAAAGTCAGTTAAAATGGGCAATTGAACCCCCCAAAATTCTGAAAGCCCTAAACGGAAACAAGGGCACAAGTTCAGGGAGGCTGGCGGCTGACCCAAGGCCTGCCGAGCACCACCCCACCCCGCCCCCCGTGGAGCTCATGGGGTAGGGGGGGAACCCCTTGCATACTGCAGAGTTCGGGCAGGGAAGGGCTGGGGCCCCTGGGAGGGCTGGGGCCCCAGGGAAGGGGGAAGACCTCCGAGCTGCGCTTCTCGCTGGCAGGGAGCGGGTGCTGAGAGCCCTCGGATCCCTCTGCAGGGAAGGACACACTTCATTCCCGGGATGTTCTTTGAGGTCAGCACTGTGATTATCCCCATTTGCAGACGAGGAAAGTGGAGCACGATGGGACTGTCATTTTCTACATCAGTGGGCCAGCGCTGTAAGTGCTGTGAGGACAACCCGACAGAACCCGACCTCTGGAAGCAGCCACCCTGGTCCGCCCTCGGCGCGGCTGCAGTGGGCGCCCGGCCCAGGTGAGTGCGCCCTGCTCGCGCGCCATCCTCCGGGCCGCAGCCCAGCCCGTGTCCTCACGGCCTCCGAGGCCCCCGGCGGCTCTGCCGCTGCGGCTGACACGCCTGGGACAGCCCAGCCCCGCCGGATTTGCACTCGCGTCGTTGGACTGGACTCCCAGCCACCACAGAAGTCTACCCTGCAAAGACAATGGTAAGGGAACGTTTCTAGAGCGGCCTTGGCTCCGTGTGAAGCAGGGAAAAAAGTCCCCTCAAAATCCGTATTCTGAAACTGGTTCGTAGGCAGGTTTGAGACCCAAACTTGCAACATCTGAACGAACGACGTGAAAAAACTGAAAGCCGAGCATTAATTGGCATCTTGGCAAATTGAAAAAAAGCATTTTCTCTAGGTGTCACATCCTCAACCCTGGCCTCCCTGGACCCAAGTCCGGAGGGCCCGGGTGGGCCGGGTCGGGCCGGGCAGCCCGGGCGGGCAAAGGGTGTCGCCGGGGCTCGCAGGGCTGGGTTGGTCCCATCCTGGGAGGGTCAGGTGTCCTTTGGCACGCCCCGCACCAGTGCCCCACGGCTCTGCTCCGCGCACCACCTGTTGCTTCTCGGAAAGCATCCTGGGGCCGGGACGCCAGCCAGAGGCGTCCGCCCCTGCGGCACCCGCCCGGCCCCCATCAGCTTCCTCGGCGGCGGATGTTTCTTAGGGCGTCTGGGGGGCAAAACCGGCCGGGGGCGGAGGCAGGAGCTGGCCGGAGCCTGGGGGCGTGGCCAGGAGCGTGGCCGGAGTTGGGGCGTGGCGGAGCCCGCGAGGGGCAGGGCCGGAGCCTGGGGGCGTGGCCAGGAGTAGGCCTGGATGTTGGGCGCGGCGGAGCGGGTGGACTGGGACTTTCGAAGCAGCAGCACCACCTGGTGGCCGAGCCCCGCCAGGCGCCCGGGGAGCTGGGGCGCAGCCTTGGGGTTTGGTTTACAAGCGGGCCGGGGCCTGACTTGAACGGAACAGTGGTAGAAAGCGCTTGAGAGGAGGGGGTGTCTCCCCCACTTGGTGTAAGAGCAAAGCGCACCCGGACTTGCTCCCAGTAAGGCTTCTGGCGGCAGGTATGGTGGTCACTGGGAACACTTTGCTGGGTGCCCCGCCCTTCCCCCTGCTCGTAGGAGGCTGCAGGTCTGCAAAGGTGACAGCACCTCCAGCCCACCCAGCAGGAGCCCCAGAGCCCCAGCCTTACCGTCTTCAACTTAACTTAGGAGCAGGAGAAGGTCTAAAAAAATGTCACTGACCAAACCCATTTCCCCAGTGGCAGCTGCCGCCTCGGGGAGGTCGACACACTGCTTCCTTTCTGACTGACCGCATGTGTGTGTTTGTTAGTGATCTGTGGTTTCTGTACCACGTGGGACATGGGCTGAATGGGGCTCGGCCCTGACACATGGGGATTAGGTGAGAAGGCAGAGCACCAGGTGAAGGCCCCTCCCAGCCCCACGGCCAGCTCTCCCCGCCCAGCAGCACTGCGTCCCCTGGACTCTGCAGCAGCTACGTGGCTGCCCGTGGGGCTCCCTGCTTCCTGGGTGGAGGAAAAAAGGACAGACCCCGTCTTGTTCACGCAGCCATTTTGTAAAGATTTATTTTCGCCGTATCTCTTCTTGCCCCCAAACAAACAAGGACCGGCAGGACGCAGACCAGGCAGCTTCCACCCAGCCCCAAGAGGAGCTAAAGCCGAGAGTCAGTGCTGTGTCACTACACAGCTCAGTGTGGCCACGGGAGAAGGGGGTTAAGAGAACAGACAGACACACAGCCTCCCTGACCGCTGAAGCCATGGCCGGTAATACCAGGCTCTCAACCTGCATCCCTGCCTGGCATCCACCTGGTCCCTTCACCCCGGCAGGAGGCCTGCCTCCCTCTCCACCAGCCGGCTGACCGTACGCAGGACCAGGGGCAGGGCCGTGTTGGTGTCACGGTGATAGCGGGGCTCGGACACCTCCACACTGGGCGTGAACACAAACTGGGCCACGCTGGGCATCTTCAGCAGGTTCAGCAGCTCGGTGGCCCGCGTGTGGATGGCTCCCACGCCCTCCTCACCGGGCGTGGAGCCCGTGGCTGGGCTCTGGGCCAAGGTCCTCATCTTTGACAGGAGCAGGGAGACCCTGGGGACGAGGGAGTCCCAGCCCATCAGCTGCAGGTGCACCCCTCACGCGGGCAGGGGTGTCGTGGAGGGACCAGCTGCCAGGAGCACCCAGCTAGTGTGGTCTTGGCTGGGAGAGATGAGGCGGCAGTGCTGACACAGCCCACGCCACCTGCGTCCAACCAGAAGGGCTTTGGGGGACAGGACAACCTCCAACGCCGTTCCCTTTCCCAACGGGAAGCCTGTAGCTTTCCCTCCGCCCACCGGGAACTGGTACCTGGGAATCAGGTCTTGGCTCCGAGAGGCCAGCTTGGTCAGTGTGGTCATGAGCACAGTGATGACCTGCGGAGGACACTTGGGGAGGGTGGTGGAGGGCCGCGACTGGGTGACCTCAAAGAGCAGGGCCTCCAGGGCTTCGAAGAAGTTGTTGATCTGCTCCACGGTGCAGCGCCGGTCCCAGGACACCGACAGGTACTCGCCGATGGCCCACACCTGGGTGGGGGACAGCACTTCAGCCCTGTGACAGGCCCGCATGTCAGGTGCAGGCTGGGGCGGGGCAGCGGCTGCCTCACCACGGATGTGAGCACGTGCCCGCCGCTGCGGGGGCCGCCCACGAACTCCAGCAGCTCCTTCGCCTGCTCGACCACCAGTGGAGGATGCAGCTTGCACAGGGCCGGGAACTGGGAGCTCAGCACCCTGCGCGAGAGGACCCGTGGGCTGTGCTTGCCCCACACAGACCCCAGCCCCGCGGCCCGTCCCGAGGAGAGCTGGGCGGTGGCGGGAAGCCCCCGAGCACCAGGTGGAGGTAAAGGTAGTCCCGGCCCCGCCAGGAACCTCTTGCCCCACCAGGGAAGAGGCTGGGCTGGAGCGGGGATGAGCCCGCATAAACTGGGCCTTCAGCAAGGGGGACACACGTTCTGGAAGGCTCCGTGGAAGAGGGGCTTGGGTGGGCAGGGAAGGGTGCGTACAGTGGCCGAGAAAGTGCCGAGGCTGGGCTGGGGTCGGTGGCAGCTGGGGAACCGCTGCCGTGAGGGGCAGAGAGCGCGGGGTCAGCGTGAACCCGTCCAGGGCTGGGCCATGGAGCCGCAGGAGGGGCGAAGCCCGCCAGGAGGGACCCACCTGTGCACACCGGCTTCGTACCCTGGGACCTGGTAAAGCGAGTCGCTTCGTTCCAGGAGCAGCAGTGCCAGCTGGCTGGCCAGGGCCCCGTCAGCAAACTGGGAGAGAGAGAGAGAGAGAGACTGCGTCCCACCCCCAGGGAACACCTCTGCTCCGGACCTGGCTGGCTGCTGCCCTGGGGGCTTCTCTCGGCCCCAGTTCTGGGAGGGACAGGAGCCAGGCTGGGGCTGGTGTGAGCTGCCCTGTCTGCTGTGATGGACTGGCCCCTTGGCCACTGAGGAAGCTGGGGCCCTGTGGGTCCTAGCTCCAGCAGGCCCTCTGCTGCAGGGACAGAGGCCCCAGGAAGCGGGCTCACCTGTGTCACCGCCGAGAAGAACGCCCGGAGCAGGGTGGGCACGGCCTCAGCGCACTGGACCACCCGGGCGCAGCCGGCCAGGGGCTGCAGCAGCCGGTAGAGTGGCGTCAACCTGGGGACACATGGCCCAGCCCTGAGCACACGCCTGTTCCCTGTCCGCCTGGGGACCCGGCTCTGGGAGCGCCTGCTCTGCCCTCATCAGAGGCCACCCTGCGCATCTCCTAATGCACGGCCTGCTCCCTCTGCGGCCGCCCTGCTCCCGTGGCACACGGGAGGGCTGGAGTGCGGCTGGGGGCAGGAGGCCGTGGTCCAGTCCTGGCCCGCCACCCCTAGGCTGTGCTAAGCCTCCCTTTCCCCACCTGTGGCAAGGAGTGAGCACAGTGCCTACCCCACAGGGCGACAAGGACGGGATCAGGAAACTGAACGAGCAGACCACAAGCCAGGTGCCCAGGAAGCGCTTGGCCACGTGGCCGGCGCCTGTTGGGTGGGGGGTCACCAGAGCTGTCTCTCCAGGTCAGAAGGCACCAGGGAGCTCTCGTGTCCCACGTGGGGCCTGGGACGCCCGGCAGCGAGCCCTACCTCTCCACGGTCCTGCTGGCGTGGGCACGCAGCAGGTGCTGGAAAAGACCCTGGACCTGCGAGTCCCGGAGGGCCTCCAGGCAGCCGGGGGCCCTGATGGAGACATCCCAGGGCGGCCTCTCAGATGCAGCCTGCAGCGACCTGCGAGCAGAGAGACTCCTGAGGCCGGGCTCACATGTGGGCTCTGGCCCAGGCCAGAAGAAGCTGGACTCGGCCCCTGCCCTCGTGGTACCCACTGGCCAGGGAGAGACTAGAGTGGACGTCACCATAACATCACTGTGCCCTGACCCAGCCAGGAGCTGCAGGATGACCCAAAAAGGCCTGGGGGCCGGGCCCCTGGGAGGCTGCGTGGCTGAGTGAAAGACAGGCTGGGCTCCGGGGCTGCCGTCAGGGCGGCGAAGAGGTGCAGAGACACTCTGCGTGGGAGACAGCAGGAGCGGCCGGGGGCAAGGAGGGACAGGGACAGGGCAGACACGGTCAGAACAGTGAGCAGCGGGGCCGGGCAGGGGCTCACCTGAGCTGCAGGTCCAAGGCTGCGGTCAGACAGGGCAGGTCCAGCAGCAGGTGGAGCATCTCCACGGCCGTCCCTGCGTCAACCAGCGATGGGAGCAGCGCCACGAAGTCAGAGGTGAGGGGCGGGCTGTTCCAGGCCAGGAACTGTGGGGACAAGCAGCGCAGCTCTAGTGGGAGCCCGGAGGGCATGGCCAGCCCTGCCACCTCCTGTTTCACTGTGACCCAGGAGTTGGAAAATATGCCCTTCAACTTTCTTCCCCCTCATTCTTTTTGCTTCTGCACTCACTTTTGTACCAACCATCTAAATCACTTTCCATTTATCATCGTTTATTTTCCTGATTAAAGAACTCAGTCTCTGATTTTGGAAAGGCCACGCAGTGACACTCCAATCACAAAAGACACATCAGGACTTCCCTGGTGGCACAGTGGTTGAGAATCCACCTGCCAGTGCAGGGGACACGGGTTCAAGCCCTGGTCTGGGAAGATGCCACATGCCGCAGAGGACCTAAGTCCGTGTGCCACAACTACTGAGCCTACACGCCTAGAGCTGTGCTCCACAATGAGACACCACCACAATGAGAAGCTCGTGCACCGCAACAAAGAATAGCCCCTGCTCGCCACAACCAGAGAAAGCCTGCGCGCAGCAACGAAGACCCAATGCAGCCAAATACAGAAAAAAAAAACCCAAAAAAACCCATCGAAGACAAAGGTGCCAAACAGCTGAACACACCCGGCAACGCTCCCCAGTGAAGAGATGCTAACCTGCACCAACTCTGCGAGCCCAGCCACCAAGCCAGGCCCGACCTCGCCTTCCTGAGGGCACGGGCGCCCCCAGCCCATGCCAGGACACTGCCCCAGGGGCCCTGCACACCCCAGGCCCCCAAGCCCCTGCTCTGGTTCATGGATGACCAAGCATGCCTTGAAGAGGTTGGGGAAGCTTGTCCTGAGAATGCCAAGGTTTCTGCCGAACAGAGGCAGGCTGTCCCTGCAGAACTGGACGAACTCGAAGGCCAGCATCGGACTGTGGAAGTGTTCAGCGGGGATCCTGGTGAAGAGGTGCTGGTAGACGGCTTCCGCATCCACTGCGGCGGCCTCCCCTGAAAGGCAGTGGGCTCCGTCAGGGCAGAAGGCCTCGGGTGCTGCCGGGGGCCCCCCGAACCTCGGGCCAAGCCTCCAGGGCCACACGTGTCTGCGGGACACCAAAGGCAGACACGTCCGCCCTTCGCAAGCACGGGAAGAGCCAGCTGAGCCGGATCCGGGTCTTCCCAGGTGTCTCTGGCCACAGACCCACCCTCTGGTTACGCTACGGGGATCGTTCCTTGGAAGGGGCTGGTTTCACGGCACCTTCCAGGAAACTCTCGTGGCAAAGAGAGTTCAAGATCAACACAGACTTGGTAACGTTTTAACTTGCTACTTAAATCCATCTAAAAGTTCCCACCGTCGAAGTGCTAAGGGCTCATCAGATCAGTGCTGCTCTACAGACGAAGGAAGGGGGCAGCGTGCAGGGGAAAGCCGCCCTCCCCGCGAGCGGGTCTGCTCCCACGGGAGGGCAGAGGCTCACCGTGGTGCAGGAAGAACTGGGCGACGGGCAGCAGCGCCCGCACCCAGGCTGGGTCCCCGCGCAGGCGCGTGTGCAGGGGCTTCAGGCAGGAGAGGGTGCGGTACAGGAAGGAGGGGTCCTGCTGGCAGAGCACGTCCAGCACCAGCACAGCCTCCACCAGACACTGCGGGGACCCGAGGAGGCCGCTCAGACAGAGCTGGGAGGGAGCGCCCGCCCGCCCGCCCGCCGGGCACTCACTGCTTTCTGCAGGTCTGAGTCTGCCTTCTTCAGGGCTCCTGGGGGAGGGAAGAAAGCCACCTGGTCTCTGTGTCCCCATCAGAACAGCCGAACAAGAAGGTGCCCCGTGTTCTGGAAGCTGGAGGAGAGGCCGGGGAGCCCACAGCTGGGAGCGACCGCAGCGCAGACGCGAGGTGGGGACCGAGGGCCACGGGCCGCGGACAGGAAGGGTGGCCCCGGGACTCACGCCGGTTACTCTGCTCCAGCAGGCGCTGGCAGTACTCGAAGGCCTTCTCCCGCAGCCATTGCTGGGGCGGCAGCAGGTGTCCGGCGGTGGAGGCGGCCGAGAGCACGGACAGGGTGGAGCCTTCCAGCTCCGACTTGTCGTCTGGGAGAGAGAACGAGGGCTCAGGACAGAGAAGGACTCCGCAGGGTGCGAGGAGGGCTGCCGTCGCCGCCTGCCAAGGCCTGCGCCCTGTCCCGCCTGCTGCCACCCCAACGGGACGCGGTGGTGTAGATGAGCCCAGACCGTCTATAACTGCTAGTGGGCTCGCAGAGGAGGAAGAGTTTGGAGAAGCTGTTGCAACAGTCCTGTCGACATCTGGCTTCTCAGCACGTCTGGGAAAGGCCTGCTGGAGACCACAGGGCTCAGCCAATGTCGCCCAGGGGCCCAGCACGTCCTGCCTGCGTCCTACCTGCGTCCGGGGCGCTGGAGCCCCCAGGGCCGCTGTCCAGCAGCCAGGCCCGCAGCATGGAGAAGGCCTGCATGTTCAGCCACTGGTCCTCCGTGAAGCGCTGGCCCGTGGACAGCACCGTGAAGAAGTCCGTGGCCACTGCCCCGTCCACCTCGGTGACAGGGCCCAGCTGCAGGAGGCAAGGAAGGTCAGCCGGCGCTGCAGGGCCCGGGAAGGGCCAAGAACAGGCGGCATGGGGCGCGAGCCACCGCCCTGGCCGTCCACGCTCCTCCGGGACCACGGGCACCCCGCCCCCACCCAGGGTGCGTGAGCGCAGGCACTTGAGCTGAAAACGCAGCCCTCGGTCAAATACGGTCCCTGCCCGCGTGTTCCGGGCCTCAACCCACAGAGCGCGCCACAGGCTCGGGGGCTGTGACCCAAGGCACCCCCGCATGCCCGAGTGGAGCGAGGAGAGTGCGCTCGTTCTGGAACCAGGAAGGAGGAGCGGGTGGCGGCCTGCAGGCCAGGCCGGCTGAGGCAGCCTGGGGACACGGAGCTCCGAGTGCCCCAGCCTCACCTGCCGGGCTCTAGGCGTGGAGAAGAAGCCCCCAGAGGAGTGGGCGACCGCCTGCTGGACGCTGGCGTAGCGGAGCCAGTCCCCCAGCCGCTTGCTGAGCGCCCTGGTCTGCTCTGTGCAGGACGGGGGTGACACCGCAGGAACCGAGTTAAGTCCCGCAGGCTCGCGCTGCCTGGGCTGCCGCAGGTCTTCCTAGGAACCAGCAGCAGCCCTGGCGGCCCCTCGCCCCCAGTGGCGGGATGTGTGCAGACCTTCACGGAGGGCGTCCGGGGCCAGGCTGGTGACCTTGGACACGATAGGGAGGAGGTGCCTCAGGCTGGGCCCCTCGGGCTGCCGGCTCTCCAGGACCTTGAGGACGCGCTGGGCCAAGCTCCTGACCTGCTGTTGGTCACCCTGCAAACCCCACAGCAGAACGTGTTCCTGCGCGTCACGAATGCCACCTGGTTCGGGCGTCCGGAACGTCACGAGGGCAGCCCCGGCCCTGCAGCCTGAATCAGCCTCACAGCCCTGGCTCATCCCCCCACCCGGAATGGGGGCGGAGCGGGGAGGGCTGCTGGGTGACAAGGGCCCAGCCGAGCCTGCCCGCCCCACGGGGAGCACGCGGCCTGCTGGTTCATCGAGGCCCCAGGGCCACCAAGGGCAGGGTGGCGGCAGTCACGTTACCTGGGCCAAGAGCACAGAGGCCACGAGGCCCAGCTGCCGCGTGTTCTGGATGTGGTCGCAGGAGAGGCTCAGGCTGTCGCAGGGCGACATCTCTCTCAGGACAGCGGCGCAGAGCAGCTGGAGCTGCTCGGGGCAGGTAGGCGAACAGAGGGTGGTCTGCAGCAGTGCCAGGCAAGGCCTCTCCAGCCTGGGGGGAGGGGGCGTGTCACCCCCCCGGGGCCGGGCCAGGCAGCGCCCCCCACCCCGCGATGCCCCAGGGACGCGTGCGCTCACCTCCTGTTGTATTTCGTGGCCGAGACGATGAGGAAGAGCCTCCGCAGGGCATCCGGGGCGTCGGGACCCCAGTCCTCCTCTCGCAGTAGCGCACAGACCCGGGCACAGAGCCTCCCCAGCTCCTCGTCCCGGAGCTCCCTAAACAAAGACGACGGCGTCGGCAACCCGGCGACGAGGGACCCGGAAACGACGCCCTGAGCTGTGACAGGACGGCTCTCGGGCTGGGGACCGGCCCTGCTGAGCAGAGAACAAGCCAGGTGTCGTGGAGGAAGGTGGTTCCAGCACCACCGGGCCTCTTGTGACGAACCCGCTGACTGGGTACCCGGCCTGGGTCCTTGCTCCCCCCACCAGGCGGGGGACCCTCACTCCAGAAGTTACTACGGCAAACCACGCATTCGGGTTGTTATTCTAGGACCAGAAGCACAAACCGATTGGTTTACGAGTCAAAAGTAAGGGGGTTTAGTCTGAAACCAGTTGCTTTTCAAAAGATTCCTTCAGTGAGCCTTTAACTTCTGGGAACAAGAATTAAATGAAAGGTCAAGTGTTATGACACGTTACTCTAATACTTAATTGAAAAATCTATCTATTGAGCACTTGTAACAGCTAAGATGCTGAAGCAAGCCTCAAAACGAAGCCTGGTTCTAGGCTTACTCCAGCCCCAGAGGCAAGAAAAAGCAACGTGGCCCCAAGCCACCGCGCTGGGAGCTGCTGGGAGCTGCTGGGGGGCTCTTGGCAGGGCCCTGACACAGCTGGGCCCCCGCCGCGGGTCCCCGAAGACCACCAAGTCCACTCTGCTCGAGCTCGGGGTCTGCGATTCTGACCTGAGAGAGACGGCGCATCCCCAGGCTGTGGGGCTGAGGAGAATGTCCGAGCACCCCGTGGGCTGGGGGTCCCGGGCGGCGGCTTGGGTTTCCCGTTCTCACCTGAAGGCTGGCAGACAAACCCCAATGGCTTCCCCACCACGCCTCGCCTCCCACCCCCGTTTCCATTTTTTCACTTAATCTGGCCAGAGTGGGATTCAGCCACCTACAAACACAAGCAAAGGCGCGTGTGGACGAGGAGGGAGGAGACTGAGTTGAGAGGCCGGGTCCAGGTCTGCTGCTCGCCGCGGCGACGGCCGAGGGAGAAGCTGCCACGCGTCCCGCAGTCAGTCATAACTGAGGCTCCTTCCCAGAACGGTGGTGCCCCTCGCCCGTACCCCAGATTAGTCCCTTCCAATGTATTCTCCAAGTCACCGGATTCTTTCTAAAAGGCGGTCTGCCTACACCGGTCCGTAGCTCTCCACTGCTTTCAGACCCAAAGCCCCCGGTGCTAGTGTAGCCCACGAGGCCGGCTCCCCCTGCTTCTCCTGCTTCCGCCCCGGGCACGGACCCTCTGCCTGAAATGCTCCCGACCGCTTCCCTCGCTGGCTGACGCACTCTGAGCTTCTGTTTAGTTGTCTTGTCCTTCAGGAAACCTCCCCCGGCCTTGCTGCTCCCCCCCACCCCAACCCAAGTCCCACTCTCTTCACTTGTTCTGCAGGTCACAAGTCATGCTTCTGATAACTTTCCCCAGCCTTGCTTTCCATCTCTGAAAAATACAGAGAGAAACTAAAATTTACTCCGAATCCTAACTCCCAAACTTTAGTAATCTGTTTTAAAGTCCCACCAAGAATCACCGGCTTAATTAAAGAAAAATAGTGAAAACTAGTAAGACTCAACTGATAGTTATTAACTTTCCTCAAATCCCAACAGAGAGGAATTCCCACCCACCCAAGACAGAAAGACAGAGAAATAGGAATTAAATAGTGAGGGCTGTTCCTTCTGCCTTTCAGTCTATACATTTCTGACCTTGAACAGAAGATGAGCTGGATGTTCTGAGTGGGTCTCAGTTCGTACTCGTCCCCTGGCAAGACCTCTAGGCTAATAAGCATGTCGCATGCTGAGTGAGATGCTAGCACTTAAAGATAATCTGTTTTCAGGGAGAGGAGAGCAAGGCGGCAGAGCAGGACACAGAGCTCACGTCCCACCACGAACACACAAAAAGCACATCCACACTGAACGCAAACTGGAGACCGGCAGAGACTCCTGTGCAACCAAGGCTGTGAGAAAGAGGCGAACGGACTCGGGAAGGAAGGGAAGAAAAGCGATCACGTCGGGGCTCGTGCCCCTGGGAGGGGACACAGAGGAGGAGGGGCACGGCGTGGGCTTGGAGCTCCTCCCTGGGGAGTGAGTGGCTCAGACCACATATTGAGGCACCCCAGCCTTGAGGATCCACACCGAGAGAGTGAGTCACCATGGCTGGCTTGAAAACCAGTGGGACCAACGGCAGGGCTGTAAGAAGCCTAGACTCCACGCGTGAGGCGTGGGCGCCGGCTTGCTTACTCCTGGAATAAGGCGGAGGAAGCAGATGAAGCCTGCCCGGGGCTCTGGGGGCTTGCCCGGGATCGCCCCAGCCCCGCCCCAGCCCCCGCCCCCGCCCCCCGCCCGAGCTGAGCACCTGCTCCGGCCCCTCTTGCTCCAGCACTGCTTCCCCTTTGGGGGCAAAGATGCCGCTGCTGGGAGCAGGGAGAGCGCACACTTGGAACAGAACCAGCTTGGACCCGACCCTCAGGACAGCTGCTCCAGCAAACTGGGACCCGCCCTGACAGGGCAGTCACGGCCACTGAACAGACAAGAAGCTCCAGCTCACACCTGGCTCTGGCTCCAGCCCCTTTACATCTCCAGCCACACCCCCTACCAAGGCGACAGCTGCCAGCACAGCCTGGGGGAAGACATGACTCTTGCCCACTTCAGCTCCAGCTCTCCCAGCAAAGTCAACGGGCACATGCAGACCGTACAGGGATGCTCCCACACGGGGACATGCCTTAAAGACTGGGATAGGTAACTGCTTCACCTAATTTCACAGAGACAGAAAAAGCCAAGCAAAATGAGAAGACAGGGGAATTTGTTTCAAATGAAAGAACAAGAAAAAAAAAATGAAAAAAAAAACAACCGATGGAACAGAGGTAAATAATTTACCAGATAAAGAGTTGAAAGCATTAGTAATAAGAACGCTACTTGAACTAGGAAAAAGAACAGATAAACATGGGACATTCCTGGTGGCCCAGTGGTTAAGAATCCGCCTGCCAGTGCAGGGGACACAGGTTCGAGCCCTGGTCCAAAACAGAGCAACTAAGCCCGTTCACCACAACTACTAAGCCTGCATTCTAGAGCCTGCGTGCCACAACTACTGAAGCCCACGCGCCTGGAGCCCATGCTGCACAACAAGAGAAGCCGCCGCAAAGAGAAGCCTGTGCACTGCAACGAAGAGTAGCTCCCCTCGCTGCAACTAGAATGCCTGCGCACAGCAACGAAGACCCAATGCAGCCAAAAATAAAGAACTAAATAAAAGGATCCACCTGCCAATGCAGGGGACACGGGTTCGAGCCCTGGTCCAGGAATATTCCACATGCCACAGAGCAACTAAGCCCATGCGCCACAACTACTGAGCCTGCGTTCTAGAGCCCGAGCCACAACTACTGAGCCCACGTGCCACAACTACTGAGCCCGCGTGCCACAACCACTGAAGCCCGCATGCCTAGAGCCGGTGCTCCGCAACAAGAGAAGCCACCGCAATGAGAAGCCCGCGCACCACAATCAACAGTAGACCCCGCTCGCCGCAACTAGAGAAAGCCCGCGTGCAGCAACAAAGACCCAACACAGTCAAAAATAAATAAATAAAAAATTAATAAATTAAAAAAAAAAGAAAAACACATTAAAAAAAATGAGGACAGTTTAAGACATCTCTGGAACATTGTTAAGTGTACTAACATTCACATATAAGGGTCGATATCATTCACATATAAGGGTCCCAGCAGGAGAAGAAGAGAGTCAAAAATGTATTTGATGAAATTATGACTGAAAACTTCCTGTGCCTAAAGAAGGAAACAGATATCCAGGTACAGGAAGCAAAGAGAGCCCCAAACAAGATGAACCCAAAGAGACCCACACCAAGACATACCATAATTAAAAGATGGCAAAAGTTAAAAAGAGAATTCTAAAGGCAGCAAGAGAAAAACAATCACATACAAGGGAACCCCCATAAGGCTATCCGTGGATTTTTCTGCAAAAACTTTTCAGACGAGAAACAAGTGTCATAAGATATATTTAAAGTGCTGAAAGGAAAAACCTACAATCTAGGATACTCTACCCAGCAATGTTATCATTCAGAATTAAAGGAGAGATAAAGAACTTCTCAGACAAGCAAAAACTAAGAGAGTTCATCAATACTACACTGACCCTAAGAGTTAAAGGATCTCCTCTATGTGGAAAAGGCTAGAACAAGAATTTACAGAAAAGGAAAAAGTCCCACCAGTAAAAGCAAATATATAGTAAAGGCTGTGGGTCAACTAATTAAATAAGCTAGTACAAAGTTCACCATATATGAACCCCATGGTAACCACAAATCAAAATCGATATCATGAAAATGACTATACTACCCAAAGCAATCTACAGGTTCAACGCAATCCCTATCAAGTCACCAATGGGATTTTTCACAGAACTAGAACAAGAAATTTTACAATTTGTATGGAAACACAAAAGACCCCAAATAGCCAAAGCAATCTTAAGAAAAGTAGAGCTGGAGGAATCAGACTCGCTGACTTCAGACTATACTACAAAGCTACAGTAATCAAGACAGTATGGTACTGGCACAGAAACAAAAATACAGATCAGTGGAACAGGATAGAAAGCCCAGAGATAAACCCACGCACATATGGTCACCTTATCTTTGACAAGGGAGGCAAGAATATACAATGGAGAAAAGACAGCCTCTTCAATACGTGGTGCTGGGAAAACTGGACAGCTATATGTAAAAGAATGAAATTAGAACACTCCCTAACACCACACACAAAAATAAACTCAAAATGGATTAAAGACCTAAATGTAAGGCCAGACACTATAAAACTCTCAGAGGAAAACATAGGCAGAACACTCTATGACATAAATCACAGCAAGATCCTTTTGACCCATCTCCTAGAGAAATGGAAATAAAAACAAAAATAAACAAATGGGACTTAATGAAACTTAAAAGCTTTTGCACAGCAAAGGCAACCATAAACAAAACAGAAAGACAACCCTCAGAATGGGAGAAAACATTTGCAAATGAAGGACAAAGGA